TATAATAACTCCCTTCAGGCATTTTCATGTTAACAATGTCTTTTTTTTAAAAAAAGGCAGTGTTTACATTGCCCCTAGGGACACCTCCTAGTGGCCACTCCTTAGATGGCCACTGGAGAGGCTTCCTGGGTCAGGGTTGCACAGTAAGCAGCCCTGCCGTTCAGCGTCCCCACGCTCTGCATGGAGACGCTGAAGTTTCCTCATAAAGATGCATTGATTCAAGGAATGATGACCAAAAGAAAAATTACAGTTACAGAAGATTAGCATAGCACTGAGCCATGTATGGGGTTAAAATCTAGATTTGATGTGGGTATTTGCAACATTGCTTTGAGATTAGTGCCTATCATTATTCATTTAGTGGTGTCCAACAAGTTCATGAAAGGTCAGCATTCATTAAAGTAGTAGGATTTCTTCTTAAGATTACAAGAATTATCCCTAGAAATATAAAGAAGCTGAAAGTAGCTTCCAGAACTTGTTAAATCAGCTTGAACTAATAATCAATGGGATATACTGTAGCCTCTTGGAAAGACTTGGAAATAATGCATGTGACAGTATGTGATCATCATTTGCTTATAGGGTAAGCCTTCTAGAATTTTCATTAGAACTTCATTACAATTGTAATAGCAATTTTTAGATCAGGGGTAGGTCAACTTCAGCATTCCAGATGTTGTGGACTACATCTCCCATAATGCTCTTACAGTCATAATGCTGGCAAAACATTCTGTTCTTAAACAGAGCTGTGCACATGCATATACACACACATGCCCACACGCATACATGCATGTGCACATGCACACACATGGGTGTGTGGTGTATGGGCTGCCTAGTGAGGGGTAGCACCTCTGGTGGGGGACAGCTTGTCCATCTTTGGTCCCCATCCGGCACTCACCTCTCACCTGTGGCTTGTCGTAGCCGTAGCATGCATATTGGCCACATCACAGGAAATGATTTCAACTGGCTGGTTAAACCAGGTTGAGAGTAGGTGATGATTCTTAAACTTGTGAGCTAGGGTTTGTCTACCTTGCATGTGAAGACTGGATTCATGGGACTGTGCAGAAGAGGCCACTAGTTGTGCTCAACATGTAGAAAAGCATATCTCAGCTAAGCATTGAGGAACGCTTTGGGCACGATGAGACACATAGGACATCTTGGCCATCCGCTGCACTCATTTACATCTCGACCTAGTCCTGCTGCTGGATCCAGATGGTCTCAAGTGAGAGAGTGTGGTTAGCACACTGCTCAACTCTTCCTCACTTTAATCCAAGGTACCTGTGCAAGTCACTTTTTGTCTTCTGACATTTATCCCACTCACTTTAAGTCCTGTGGCAATAGGCAGGCAATGAAGCAGCAGGTGTGGGTACACTGGCAGCCAGAGCCACAAATTTGCATACATATTCAGAGAAGGGCTACTAAACTGGTTCATGGATTATAGGATAAAACTTACCAGGAAAGGTTAAAGGTTCTTAACATATATAGCTTGGAGGAAAGACGAGACAGGGGGATATGATATAAACATTTAAATACATAAAGGGAATCAACGCAGTAAAGGAGGAGACTACATTTAAAAGAAGAACAACTACCACAACAAGAGGACATAGTCTTAAATTTGAGGGGCAAAGGTTTAAAAATAACATCAGGACGTATTACTTTACAGAGAGGGTAGTGGATGCATGGAATAGCCTTCCAGCTGAAGTGGTAGAGGTTAACACAGTGAGGGAGTTTAAGCATGCGTAGGATAAGCATAAGGCTATTATAACTATAAGAAAAGGCCAGGGACTAATGAAAGTATTTAGAAAACTGGGCAGACTAGATGGGCTGAATCTGGGTTCTGAATCTGGGTTCTTATCTGCCATCACATTTTATGTTTCTATGTTTCTATGTGTGGCTAGGGCTATAGGGTTGTTCTTTGCTGAAGTTTGGCAACCCCCTGAACGACTGAGCAGTCCTCTTTAGGAATACACTCCTGTAACGGACCGTTTCAGCACACAAGGGGTTAAACCGCCGTTTAGTCGATCTTCCCTTTCAGAGATGCATGCACAGCTACTGCAGAACACCAATCAGCCGAACAGGAAACCATATGAATGCTGTAAACAGCCGAATAGGAAAAACCATCCGAATAGGTTTACACTCCTAGCAGTCAAACTGGAACAGCATACAATAAATCCCCCCAAGAACGAGAGAAAGCTCCGTGTTGAGGGTCAAGCAGTGAACAGACAGAGCTGTGGGTTTATTGTTCTTATGTACACATTCTTACACATTAGTACCAACCACAGGGTTTTGGAACACAACCAATAAACACATACAATACATTCAGACACTCCCACACAAAGTCCTCCCCTCTGCCTGTGATACAATTAACTTACACAATGGGTAATTTAATTAGCACAAGCAGAGAAATACAATTTTTCCACATTATTCATAACTTGAAAAGTATGCATCACATTCACATAAAACTTACATTTTCAGAATCAGGATACTCCAAATACAAACACGTCAAAATCATACAAATCGGTCCAGTGGTTCAAAAGATAGATCGTAGTCCTTTGTGACCACAGGAAGCATAGCTTTTCTGCCAAAAACCAGTTCCACAGAGTCTTCTATCCTGGAGATAATTAGAAGTAATCCAATTATCTCCAAAGACAGAGGCAAAACTCCATTGAACACATGGCAGCAAAAAGACAGTAAAATACAATAAAATACACACGGTTACATTTATGACATAAAATACAGACATGCAACATATGCCCAGATAGCTTAGGTCTGAGCGCACATTATTACTGAATGGCGCTCAGAGCACACACATACAGTTCAATTGTCATGGAGCCAAAGTCTTTCCCATAGTCTTTCATTATACGAATGGGCTCCATGGCATAGCTATCTGGGGTATCACTGCTCAAACAGGGCAAGCACTAAATGACCCGGCTTTCTTGTCTTTGCAGGGGAAAATCAAGCCTTTTAACATGGGGCCATAATCCAAAGGCAACAGGCGAGCAACCAGGCTTCTCCAATGCAATGTGGCGAGATTGCTCTCGTCACAACTCCTCACCACCAGGGTATGAGGAAGGGGCTAGAAAAGGTGCTCTAAAATTACCTGCTCTATCTTTCCCTAGTCAGCTTACTGTGGCTGGAGGAGACCCTACCATACTGGTCAATGCTCAAACAAGAAATTGAGAATTGATCCTTTTATATTAGGTGCATGGAATATTCACACACTACTTGACAGAGAGGACATGGATAAACTTTAGAGGAGAACAGCCTAATTGGGATGGAACTCGCCAGGTATAATATCGATATTGCAGTCCTGAGTGTGATCTGGCTAGCTGGGGAAGTCAAACTATGTGAAAGAAGCTCTGGTTACAACTACTTTTAGAGTGGCAGTGAAAGAAGTGAGTGGCGTGAGGAAGTTTTTGGTTTTGCAGTGAATACAGTTCTTGTTTGCAAGTTGGCTGGACATCCTAAGGAGGGGGGCAGGGGGTGGGGGGTGGAAACAACAGGTTCATGATGATGAATTTCCCCCTTCTGTCTGGAAAAAAGCACATTACCATTATTAGTGCCTATGCTCCTACCATGACCAACCTAGATTAAGTAAAGTTTAAATTTTATTGGGAACTTAACTTCATCACTGAAGCGGGTGAACACTTTCAAGCTGAATTACGTAAGTGACATTCACTTTTGTGGATGCTTTGGAAGAATGCCTGGCATTGACCTATCTTGTGGAAGCTGACTGGATAACAGTTAGAGAGCTGGTCTACAGAACTGCCACTGGACCCTCAACCAGAAAGCATAAAGACTGGTTTGAGGAGAACTGCAACTCAAAGTCCATATCAAAGAAAGATGCATTCAGCAACATTTAGAGGTCAATACAGCAGAAACCCTGTTAGATGCAAAACATTTGGCTCTACAGCAAAGCTGATAAGATTCAAGACTAATGCTGACAAGTATTATATAAATAATTTCTATGACAACTTGTAGAAGTCTATAGACCCATATCATCTGAATCACCCCCCCCTCCTCAGTGCTGATGGGTACACCTTTATCACTGACAAGAATAAGATTCTTAAAAGGTGAGCTGAATACTTTGATAGTGTTCTGAATCATCCATTATGAAGCCATTGATCATCTTCCTCAAGTGCTCATTAATAGAGCACTGGATGATCCATTTACTTTGTTAGACTCAGTAAGCGATCCCTCTACTCTCTAGTGGCAATGCTCCTGGCTTGGATTCAATCCCAGTTGAGGTCTACAAGGAAGGTGGCTCTGCCCTGACTGAGAGGCTCCATTAGCTTTTCCAATTCATGTGGCAACAGGAGATGATTCCCCAGGAGTTCAGAGATGCCTCTATCATATATTTGTACAAGAGCAAAGGGAACTGTTAGACCTGTGATATTCACCTCTATTGCAGGTAAGATATTTTTCAGGATCTTACTGAATCTACCTTGATTAGGGACTTCTGCCAGAGAGCCAGTGTGGATTCTGGAAAGAGAGTGGGACCATGAGAAAACTACAGAGAAGTATCATGAGCAAAACCTATTCTCCACCTATGTCGGTTTTCAATATAGTGTGTAGAGAGGCAATAAACAAAAAAGGATTTCTAGCGCTTCTGACAGTGTTGATAGGCAGGTAAGACAACCCAAGCCAGAGTCTCTACTAAGATATAGTATAAGATGATAAAAAGTTTCAGTGCTTTGTGTCAGGGTCCCGCGGGCGGCTGCGAGGGGAGGCTGCAGTCCGCTCGCGGCACTCACCCTCCAGCCGTCCGCGGTCCCCCTTCAGCCGTGTGCTCGGCGGGCGGCACCCTCTCTCCCACGGGTGCCGTCCGCCTCTTCCTCTGTGTCTCCCAGCGGCAGCATGCATGACGCTGCACGCTGGGAGACCGCCCACTTTAACCAGCGCCGGGGTCAGTCACCTGACCCGGCGTTAAAGGCACAGTGCCTCAATCACAGTGGGAGGTTTAGATATCTCCCACGTGTGATTGTTAATTCTGATTGGAAATTATCCAATCAGAATTAACCTTTGGATTTATATACTTACCTTTCCTGTTCCTCTTCGCCCTGTTGTGGTCTTTGCTTGTTAGTATTGATTCTGAACTTGTGCTTCTGGTTACATACTCTCTGGCTTGTTATCCGACTCTGTGACTTTCTCCTACCCTTTGACCTCGGCTTGTTTCACGTTATTCTGTCTTCTGGTTCCCCTTACTCAGCTTGTTTCCTGACTATTCTTTGTGTGCTTAGCCCGGCCACTCTAAGGTCCGGTACGGCACTTTGTGTGTGTGTGTGTTGGCGTGTTTGGTTCCCCGAATCGTGACATTACAACAGGGCCATAATGGAACCTGCTGACATACCACAGCTCCTAGTTAATCAGGAGGCTAGAATGGATGGCTTGGACCACCGTATGGACCAGTTTGCCCAAGCTTTACAAACCATACTGGCTCGTACTGCACACTTGCAACCTGCCATCCAGGAGGCTGCTGCTGCTGTGCCCGAACCCATTCCCACTCCGGTACCCGTTCCTGCTCATGTTGTTCACATGACACCGCCACAACGCTACAGCGGTGACCCAGCATTGTGTCGTGGTTTCCTTAACCAAATTGACATCCATTTGGTGATGAATCCACGTTCCTATCCCACTGACAGATCCAAAATTGCCTTTTTGATTAACCACCTGTCCTGGAAAGCTTTAGCATGGGCTAACCCCATGTGGGAGAATACATCTCCTATGTCCTTTGTAGATTTCTTGACAGCTTTCAAACGTACGTTTGATCAACCCGGTAGGGTTGCCTCTGCTGGCAAAGCTCTGCTTAGGGTACGACAGGGTAATAGATCTGTAGCGGATTATACTATCGAATTCCGCACGCTAGCAGCTGAAGTGGTTTGGAATAATGATGCCCTCGTAACAGCCTTTCAGGAGGGTTTGACCGCCTACATACTGGATGAAATAGCATCCAGGGAATTGCCTGTTCTTCTAGATGATGTCATAGATTATGTCATTCTTATTGATAACTGTATTGAGTGGAAGACAGCGTTCAATACGCGTAGTGGACATTATGAATACCTGGTCATGCCTTTTGGACTGTGTAATGCTCCTGCTGTGTTTAAGGATCTCATAAACGATGTCCTTAGGGATCTATTGCATGTCTGTGCCGTGGTGTACCTTGACGACATACTTGTATATTCTCCTGATTTGAAGTCACATCATAATCATGTTACAATGGTTCTTAAAAAGTTATTACAGAATGGGCTTTATTGTAAGTTAGAAAAATGTCTGTTCGATCAGACCTCTGTGCAATTCCTGGGATATATAATTACTGAACAGGGTTTTAGTATGGATCCTGCTAAATTGGAAGCTATACTGTCCTGGCCACTTCCCCAAGGACTTAAGGCTATCCAGCGTTTTATAGGTTTTGCTAACTATTATAGAAAATTTATAAACAACTTCTCACCACTTATCTCCCCTATCACAAAGCTGACTAAAAAAGGTCTACACCCTAGGGTTTGGACTCCTGAAGCCCTTAAAGCCTTCAAAACTCTCAAGAAAGCATTTGCCTCTGCTCCAGTACTACACCACCCTAATCCTTCCCTTCCCTTTGTTATGGAAGTAGACGCTTCTGAATCGGGGGTGGGAACAGTACTGTCACAAAGGTTAGCTTATGACGAACCCCTCCATCCCTGTTGTTTCTTTTCTAAAAGGTTGTCTGATCCAGAAAAGAATTACGATGTTGGGAACAGAGAACTATTAGCTATTGTGTTAGCTTTTAAGGAATGGAGGTACTTATTAGAGGGTTCTAGACACAAAATTATGGTTATAACAGATCATAAGAACCTCTCCTATATAGCCGATGCTAGAAGGTTGTCCGCCCGACAGGCTAGATGGTCTCTATTCCTTTCGCGATTCCAATACATTATTACCTATAGACCTGGTTGAGGTAATGCCAAAGCTGACGCTATCTCTCGACAGTATGAACCTTTAGAATTTGTTAACCCAACTCCTGAACCTATTGTACCAGCTTCTCAGATCATACCTGCTACCCGTTTGGTTGTTTCGTTTCCCTTCCTTGAGAATATTAAGACATACCAAACTCAAGCGCCTCAGGAGACACCTGTTGGTAAACTATACGTGAAAGTAAATGACAGAAAAAAGTTGTTAACATTATTTCACACCGCCAAAACTGCTGGTCATCCGGGGGTTACCAAGACTTATAAGAGCCTCCTTCAACAGTTCTGGTGGCCTTCACTCAAGCGAGACGTAGTGGATTTTGTTCAGGCTTGTCGGGTCTGTACGCAGTGTA